TTTTGTTTTTGTTAGTGAAACACCATGAGGTACAGTTGTAGACTTACAGATTTTTGTGCTTGGGTTTCAGTTATACAATGATTGAGTACCCATCCCTGCACCAGTGCCCATTCCCCACCTCCAATGCTCTCGGAATCCCTCCCACCTCCCCACCCCCCATCCCACCCCACCCCTGTGGCAGGGCATTCCCTTTTGTTCTTGCTCTCCTTTTGGGTGCTGTGGTTTGCAAAAGAGGCACTGAGTAGCAATCATGTTTGGTCTATAGTCTACTTTCAGCATGCACCTCTCATCCTGGGAGGATCCTCCCAACACCCTTTATTTGGTACTCCCTTCTCTATCTGAGCTGCCTTCTCCCCCAGCATGTGCAGCTGGCCTCCAAGCCATGGAATGAACCTCCTGGTACCTATCTTGGCTATTTTGGGGTGTTAGTCTCCCAGTTTGTTACTTTATATTCCCTAGATGAATGCAATCTTTCTATGTCTGTCCCTCTCTTTCTGACTCATTTCACTTAGCATGATACTTTCCATGTAGTACCACTTGTATGTAAATTTCATGACTTCATCTTTTCTAACTGCTGCATAGTACTCCATTGTGTAGATGTACCAAAGTTTCTTTAACCAGTCATCGGTTCTCGGGCACTCGGGTTTTTTCCAGATTCTGGCTATTGTGAATAGTGCAGCAAAGAACATAGAAGTGCAGATGTCATTTTGACTGTACTTTTTTGCCTTTCCGGATATATTCCCAGAAACACAACCTTTTCCACTCAGTCTGTCACCAGCACATGGCCCGCCCTATCCCTGACACCTCCCTCACTCTCACTCCACGCCCCTGCCCTACACCCCGCCCCTCACCTTGAAGCCCCGCCCCTTACCCTGAAGCCCCGCCCCTCACCCTGACACCCCGCCCCTGCCCTGATTTCCCAATCCTTCCCTGCCTCTGCTCCCTGTCTTCCCCCTCCACACTTTTTTGTTTTTTGTTTTGGGTGACCTTGCAAGGAGCACACTTTCCACAAAGATAGAAGAGGGGGCTCTCACATGCCAGGCACTGAGCTGGGCTTCCAGGACAGACCCTAAGCAGCACTGGGGGTCAGCCAGGTGGTTCAAGGTGGACATGTTGGAGACCAGAGTCATGAGGAAGTTCCGGGAACGCTGCCTTGCAAGCAAGGTCGTGTCAGAGCTGCCAACTTGAGTGAACTGGGTTGGGGTCAGCATGTCCCAGTGCACCTGCTTTCTGTTATCAATTAACTGTGTTATGATTGGATGAAAGTTAAACAAATACCTTATTGGATTAGTGTGTAGGCTTGCTTTGATGTTGATGTGGAATACATGGGAAGTGAGATGTAAAGATTCACAAGGTGGTCTGACTGACTCATCGGGAACTTTGTGCATCACTAGGCTACAAAATGATATGTACTTAAAGGTGTTTTGATCTTATGTATTTTGATCTTATGTACTCTGAGGTATGCTGGAAGTTTTGATCGTCAACCCAATTAAAAAAAAAAAATAGCAAAAGCCAGTCGGTGCTAAACGGCCTGAGTGGGCTTTAGCCCTCCGCTTTCAAACATTCCACACGCCTTGCTTATCTCTGCGCCCTCGACTGATCATTCGAGAACATGGAAACCTCTAGATGGGGCCCCCAAAACAGAAAATAAAAATAAACACACCCTAGGCCAGAGTGATAGCACAGCGGGTAGAGCGTTTGCCTTGCACGCAGCCGACCCGGGTTTGATCCCTGGCATCCCATATGCTCCCCCAAGCACTGCCAGGTGTAATTCCTGAGTGCAGAGCCAGGAGTGACCCCTGAGCATTGCTGGGTGTGACCCAAAAGGCAAAAAAATAAATAATAAACACACCCTATCCTATTTTTCATGAACATCCTTTTCAGGCTAACGTGGGTGAGTTTGGGATTGGTCCAAGGGGGGAAATGTCTAAATATTTTTCACTGATCCAAATGGGTTAGTGCCGGGGCCAACACCGGAGCTCCTCAGGGCTCCCAGCATGGGAAAATGAAGCTTGCAGAGGGTGATGGAAATGCCAAGCTGACTCACACGGCCTCAGGCAGGTCTCAGCTGCACCATCAACTCAACACAGGTTGAACAATGTCCCATGGGTGATTCCGGGTCACCCACAACCCTGCACTGTCCCGGCATCCTCAGAAGATGCCAGCCCGGAGGTTCTGAGTCCCAGTTTCCCCAGGGGAGTCCATTGGAAGTGGGGCCCAGAGGGGCTGCACGCGGGCTGCTGTGGGGTATCCACCTCTAGAGAGGGTCTGACGGCTTTCCCCTCACAATGGGACACCACTGTCCACTTCCCAACCTCCAGGGCCATCTGGGGACCCAGAGCCAGGTGTGACTGAGAGTGGGACCCCAGTCACCTCCCTGCAGACCAGAGGCCAGGAGCAGCACTCTTGCTGGGTTTTTGTTGAAAACATGGGGGCGGGGGGGAGGCGCAGAAAGAATGACTTTCTAGCCAGGCAGTCCAGAAGCTTCTAGATGGCTGGTCTCGTTGTGGAGCTTCTGGTGGTGCGGCCGCCGGGCAGAGCGTCCAGAGATGAAGCGAACCATCTCCAATGGTCCATCTAATGAGGATGGACCATCAGAGCCCCTGGACCAGCCTGGACTTCTTCTGTACTTCTTCTGCCAACACGTGCTGAGTTTCTCTTGCAGTTGGGAGACTGCAGGAAGGACAATGGACAACGCATTGTGCAGGGGGGTTGCCTTCTCCCTCCTCCACCCCCAGAGCAGAACAGGGGAGACCCCCATGAACACGACACAGCTGAGGAGTTTCTTTCACTTTATCCTTTATAAAGCCATACAATGGGGCGCTGAGGAACAAGCTGGGGGGTGAGGCAGCTCGAATACAATACATTCAATCCCGGGGAATGGGGAGCCGCGCACGCAGGTTACAGGCAGATACAAAAGAGAAAGTATGTTTCCATCCATATAAATACACAGCCGGGGATAGGGAGGGGGAGGGGGAGGGGGAGGGGGGAGGAAGAGGGAGCGCTGACTCGGGGTATCTGTGTTTCCTGCACTGGGGGGCCCCAGGGAGGGCAGGAATCTCTGACCCTGACTTCGAATGACAGGTCAGCGGGGAGAGGAAGGGGACATCATGTGCTCAGATGCTCAAACCGGATGTGGTCCTCTCTCTCCCACACGAACCCAGTGAGGATAGATGCCGGGAGGGATGGGGTTTGGGGTGGGGTGGGGTGGGGACACACTGCTTATTAACACTGATTAGAAAGAGACTCTAGGAGTCACTCTGGCTGCCCACGGACACCCTCCAGCCCCGACCACGGCTGTGCCCTGCCCTGAGGAGTGGCCACCTCCTGATTCCTTCTTCCCAGTGGGGTGCTGCCCACTCCTTCTCACACCTCCCGTGCGGACCCCCACTTCCTTTAAAGAGACAGGCAGATTCGAGCACACTCAGACACCCCGCACTTGCACGCACACGCATACACACATCCTGTTACCACTGGCCAGGGGGCTCTGGACTCTTGGTGGGGGGAGGGGGGGGCGCGTGCTCTGAGACTTGGAGCCCCACTCTCTAAAAGCTGGAGGGAGGAGAGTGTTAGGGGCAGAGGCAGGCCCGGGAAGGGGACCTGGATTCACCCGGATCTCCCTAGGTCTGGAGCTGAGAACGAGGGGGAAGTCACCCCCCAACATCCCCCACACACATATACACAGGAGGCAGCTGAGCACAGATATGCCCCTCCAGGAGCGTCTGCCAGCCCCAACCAGCTCCAGGGACCTCCACTGAGGCCACGCAGCAGGACCTCAGACACCTTCTCCCTGGTACCCCCTGTCTCTCCCATACTCCCCGCCCCGCTCCCGGCCACATCCTGTCCATCTGCCATCCCTGGGGAGAAGGATCCCGGGAATGCACCTGTTTGCACGCAGAGGGAGGAGAAACTCTAATCCACACACAACCCAGGCCTTTTCCAGCCCCGGGACAGGCTGTCCTGCCGGGCTGCAAACACCCGGGCGGACAGGGAGCCTGGCCAGGGCCCAGGGGCTGATCCAACAGCTCATTTCCTCCCCATGTCCCCTCCAGGACCCCGCTCTGTTCTTCCCATGCCCTGTCTGTCCCCTGTCCCACCTAGGACAGTCACACCCTGCTGGGCCAGGCCCGCCTCAGTGCTCCAGTCCCAGCAATGCTCGTCTGTCTGGGGACCAAAGAGGCCTGCGGCTGCCCCCCTGGTCTCTTCCTTCCTGGCCCCCTTCCCCCAGACCCTTCCCCACCCACCACCTGGGGATGGTTTTGAAGACCAGGCATCATGGTCCGGAGGACAGGTGGCAACCCTCAACAAACAGTCAGAGTTGACGGACGGGAAGGAGGACAGGGTAGACGCAGAGACAAGGACAATGACCATGAAAAGTGCTTTCTTGGAAAGGAAGTCTTTGGCAAGAATATTCTGCAGTGCTCTGTGTGTCTGTGTGTCTGTGTGTGTGTGCGGGGGGGGGGGGGGGGTGCACGCATGCAAGCACAACCCCTCACCCAAGGCACAGGACAGCTGTGGGGGTGGGGAGGGTGGACACAGCGGAGCTCTGGCCCTCAACCTTCTAGAAAGATCAACCCCCAGCAAGCCCCCATCTCTCCAGCACCCCGGGGCCTTCCCAGGGTGGCTCAGGCCTGAATGTCATGGCTGGCTGGACCCAAGCACACACTAGGGGGGCGGTGGGGGGTGGGGAGCAGGTGTGTATGTGTGTGTCTGTGTTTGTGTGGTGTGGAGGTGGACCCCAAAAAAGGGGGGGTATGGAGTTTGCCCCAGTGCGGAGATAATCCAGATTGGGATTATCTACTGCTGCCACGGGCTCGGCCCCGGAAGGGGGAGATATTTACACAGAAAGGAGGCCGGCCCATTTTCTCTGGGACATTTGGACTCGAGCTGGGATGGGGGTCATCTGAGTGTCGGGTTTGAATACCTCAGAAGAGCACTTTGGAGGGACCGTGGTCACCGAGAACAAGGGCTCACGCGTGGGGCGGTGGGGGGTGGCACCCCACGCTCACTCTTTCCAGCTCCCCCAAATAGCATCCACTCGGATACAGAGGCTTGGAGCAGGGGCCATGCAGGACCACACAGTCTGGGGTCTGCACGGGGCCGTGCTGGCTGGGGTCTGCCACAGGGCAGCTCCCCCGTTCTGCTCGAGTTGCCAGAAAGTTGGGAAGGGGGTGGACAAAGGGATGGAACCCACAGAGCCCTTCCCTCTCCCCAGAGAGTCCCCCGGAGTCTCAGGGGAACCTCCAGGTCAGCGCAAAGGGACCCCAGGCTGCTCCAAAAACAAACAACAGGGACCCCCATTTCAGGCCCCCTCACATCTGTAAGCAGTCGGGATGGGGCTATTTCCCCAGAAGTGGGGAGTGGAGGTGGGGGGGTGGGGGGTGAGGGGTGGGAGGCAGGAAACAAAGCAGCATGGGAAATAATAAATACGTCTTGTCAATTTACCTAGTCTTCTTTTTTCTCCTTTTCTTACATTTTATTAGCATACAAATTCCGTCAGTATGTCTCACATATATATTATATATATATTTATATATCAGTACAACGCCTCTCTAGCGGGTCCCTCTAGGCTTCCGAGGCCCTCACGGACGGAGTCCCGTGAGTCTCCCCTCACACCTGGGGGCGGGGGGGGAGAGGACTGGGGCTGCCCCTCAGGACTTTCTGGTCTCACCCTCTGGCCTCACCGTGCGCTTCTGTCCTCTGCCACGAGGTGGCCCGGCTTTCTCTGGCCTGGCAGAGTGACACCCTGTGGTGCCTGGGTGACAGCCCCCAGGCTCTGCGACACACACACACACACACACCACCAGGCTGCAGCAGCCTAGCACACTGAACCCTAACATATCTGCAGCGGGGGTCTCGGGAAGGATGGGTGCCCCCCCGCCCAGGGCTGGCTGGCTGCTGCGCAGAGAATTTGTGCTGCATCAGCTGGGAACCTGCAGCGCTGAAGGCGATGGAGCCAAGGAGGCGGGGGGCACTCGCCTGCCACTATGAAGGAAGCATGGCACAGAGCCAAGGCTGGTCTGGGCTCCACGGGGCTGGGGGAGCTGGCAGGAACATTCCCCGCCCCCCCCCCCCACCCACACATACCCTACTTCACTCCTGAGTCTCACACCTGGGGAAGAGAGTCCGAGCGCCCTCGTCCCCCACCACGCCCCCTATCCTGGTCTGCAGCCGGGCTCCAAGTCTTCCAACCAAAGCTCTAGCTTCCCAGCGGCGGCGGCAGGTGTGAGGCTGCTCCCTCAGGCAGAGCCAGCTTGCACCCCTGCCTGTAGCTCTGTCAAGGACAGGGGCTAACAATACCCAACAGTCACTTGCGGAGAACGAGTCACCCGTCATTCCGGGCGCTCCTGTCAGCCCCGGCTGCTGGATGTACACATGCGTATGTGTGTGTGTGTGCACGTGCGTGTGTGTGCACGTGTGTGTGTATGTGTGCATGCTCAAGGCACATGGGCAGGAAGCCAGTGGACCATTCTGGCCGAGAGGCAAAAGAGAAAAATCTGCGTGGGGTGTGGGGGAGGGGTGTGTGGAGGTTCAGGCACAGAAACGCCCTCTAGACGCACCCCACACCACACCCCCAGGGCAACCCGGAGCCATCAGAGGGCGAAGCAGGAGGTCCCGCCACTGAACATCCCCGTGGAGGTGGCCCGAGAAGCCGCATCAGAGAGATGGAGCCTTCCCTTCCTCCCCCACCCCGTACTCCCCAAACAGGGACCCCCAAGGAGGCCGGCTCGGTCTCCTGGGAGATGCGACAAGCTCAGAGCATGGAGGTGGAGGTGGGGTGGGGGGGTCTGAGGGGGGAGCCCATTCCGTGGACCTGGTTAGTTTCGGAGGCTTCGGGAGGGATGGCGGGGTGGGGTTCTCAGGACCCATCAACCCAGGGGATCTGAATGATTCTCCTTCCTTTCCTTCCTGTCTTTCTCTGGCTCTCCCCTCCCCTTCTGCCATTCACTTCCTCTCCCCCACGTGGCACTTTCTTCTCTCCTTCTCCAAAATCGGCCCCGAGTCCTCCCTCCTTCTGGGTTCAAGAGCGGTCAGGATTCATGGGTCCCTCTCCCCCACAGGCCCCGGCCCCACTGCCCTGCCCGGGCTCTCTGGGCACGTGGTTGGTTGGCGGTGGGGGGGTGGGGGTGGGGTTCATCGCTTCTGGCCAGAGCTCAGCATGACCTTGGAGACGAAGTTGACAATAGCGGAGGCCGGCTGGTTGGGGTCCAGCTCCGCAAAGAGGTGGCAGGCGTTGTCCGTGGTGCTGCCCTGCTTCCGGGCCACGAAACCAAAGAGCCTGGAGAAGGGGGACGGGAAACATCGGGCATGAGCGGGGTGGGCAGGAGACATCCTCAGGCCTGGGACAGCACCCACCCTGGGAGCACAGATCGTCCTCAGGCCCACGATCCCCCTCCGTGCCCCTGAACACGAAGAGTGAGTGGGCACGCCGCCTGTGAGCTCCCTCTAAAAGCCACGGCAGGGGCTAGGGCGATAGTACAATGGGGAGGGTGTTTGCCTTGCGTGCGGCCGACCCGGGGTTCGATTCCCAGCAGCCCATATGGTCCCTTGGGCACCGCCAGGAGTCATTCCTGAGTGCAAAGCAGGAGGAAAACCCCTGAGCATCACTGAGTGTGACTGGAAATGCAAACAAAATTAATAATAATTAACCCAAGCACAAAATTTGTAAGTTTATAACTGTACCTCATGGTGTCTCACTAATAAAATTTTTTTAAAAAATTAATAAAAATTAAAAAGTAAAAATAAAAGCCACAGCGGGGAGGTGGGAGGGGCCTGTCCAATGTCTTGGGAATGCCTGGCAGAACTCACCAGGGTCAGGTGGGGTGGGGGGAGGGCAGCGAAGAGGTGGAGCTGGAGGCGCACACTGACCAGACTGGACAGTCAGGGGGGCAGGGGGTGTGAAACCAAAAATAAACTGGGAGACATTCCTGCACAGGCTTCTCGGGCCCGCCCTGCCACACCCCTGCCCGGCCGCTCACACAACACATGAGCAAAGGAATGAAATGTGGAATGCCTGGGAGAGAGCCTGGTCTCCCCACACCCCCAGGGGATCAGGGTGGGGATGGGGGGGGGGCGGAGGACAAGGGGTGGCCCCTACGCACACATGCACACACACACACACACTTCCCGGAGAGAGGAGAGGGACCCCACACCTGTTCCCCTGCCCGCCACTTCCCACACCGAGGCTGCAGTGACCTCACATTCTCTCTGTACAAAACAGAGTTAAAAATACGAGAGCAGGGAACAGAATGTGAGCCCGGGTCCCCTCCCCGTGGCCTGTTGCTAATTAAGAGTGGGGTGGGGAGAGCCGGGGACAGCTGGGGACGCCGCGGCAGCCCCTCGCCCAAGGCCCGACCACAGGAGCCAAATTTAGCCGAGTCGGGTCGTCCGTCTGTGTGTGTAGACGCATGCGCACGCATGAGCACACACGTGTACACGGGCTTGCGTGCGCAGGGGCACACACAAGCACGTGTGTACCTGTACAAAATGTGTGTGCTCACGATGCACAAGTGTCCACGTGTATAATACATGTGCATGTGCATGTATGTCATGAACCACACCATGGATCAGAAAGGGCATCAAGAAGCCGGGCCTGGGGCTAAGCACCCCCCCCCCCCCCATCAGCCCCTCTGGCTGTCCCTGTCCTGGAGGCTTTGTCTTTGTCCCTGATGCAAAGCAAAAGTCCCCATTGCGTGGGGAAGCCACTTACTTAGCCGGGGCCGCCCCCTCGGTCTTCATCCACCTGCAGAGAGAAAGAGGCGTGGCTGACCCTCTACCCGGCTCCCCCTGAGTGCGCCCCCCCCCCCCCCCGCACACATCCTAGGGAGCAGAGCTCCATCCTGGGACCATGAGGCCTCTCGAGAGCTTGCCCTGGGGGACCTCAGGGTGAGAGAGACTGCACTCTGTCCTGGAGTTCTGTCCGGTGTGGAGGAAAACAAATCCCAGGGCCAGAACACTGCAGAGGGTTTAGGGCCAGGGGTCCCCAGATATCAGTGGAGAAAACCCAGCAAGATGCCCGACAGAATTAATCCCCGACACAAGCGGGTCTTCCGGTGGACCAAGAAGACACACGTATATATACACACATGTGTGCATCCATACACACACACACTCTCACACAAGACACACACACACAGAGACACATACAGACACAGACACAAGCACACATACTCAGACATACACACATACAGACATACACAGACACACATACTCACATACAGTGACACACAGACACAGACAGAGACACACACAAACACAGGCACACACACACATACAGACACACACATAGACAGGAACAGACACACAGACATGAACAGACACACAGACATGAACAGACACACAGACACAGACACACACAGATAGATACACAGACACATATACACACACGTGTTCCAGGAAGCAGGGATGGTCCCTAGATGAGACTTATACATACAGACACACAGACATGCACAGACATACATACAGACACACACACAGACACATACACACAGACATATACACTGACACACACACGTGTTCCAGGCAGCAGGGATGGTCCCTAGATGACACTTATACATACAGACACACAGACACACACAGACACACTGACACAGACAGACATAGACACACACACTCACACACACACACATGTGCTCCAGGCAGTAGGGATGGTCCTTAGGTGAGACTTACTTTCTCTCCTGTGGGTCCAGGTCGCAGAAGGTGACAGTGTTGAGGGGATAATGTCTTCTGAAGAAAAGCCTGTGGCAGACAGGGAGGATTAGAACGAGACCCGAGATGGCTGCCTCTTGCCTCTCCCCTCCCTGGCCCCACCAGGGGGACTGTCCTGGCTCCAGCCACTCACAGGGGCAGATAGACACACAGGCTAGCCTCCAAGGGCCAGAGGCTGGGGGGTGAAGGAAGAAACTGGCACTGAGGAGGGGACAGAAAGGAGCCCAGGGGAGAAGGGGAAAGCCCGGGGAGGCGCCCGGGGAGGGTCCGCTGGGAAGGGGGTTGGCATCAGTCGCATTGGCAGTTTCCTGTCCCATGGAGACTTGTAGGAGCACAATAACTGGTAGATGGAGACACAAAGGGGTGGGGAAAGGGAAGGGAGGAGGGAGGGAGGGAGGGAGGGAGGGAGGGAGGGAGGGAGGGAGGGAGGGAGAAAGGATGGTAAATGGGTAGATTGATGGAAGGGAGGGATGGAGGGAGGGAGGAAGGGAGGGAGGAGGAAGAGTGAATGTGTGAGTAGGTAGAAGGGATGAAGGGATGAAGGGAAGAGTGTGGGAGCCTGAGTGGTGGTGGCTGGACAGTGGGGGACATGCAGAGAGACGGCAGTGAGGAGCAAATCCCCTGGCCAGAAGGCAGGAAGGTGCCCTGCGGATGCCGGCCGGCGGCGGGCAGAGGGAACTCACTTCCTCTGGTTGTCGGTCAGGGTGATTCCCTGGGCTGAGACCTTGAAGTGCACGATGGTGGCGGCCGGCGTGGGGTCAGCGGCCAGTGTCTCGGACGCGGCCTTGGAGATGGCCTGTGGCCCGGTAAGCGACTCCATGTCCACAGAGTTGACGAAGAGCACGTTGCAGGCTGAAGGGAACCAGTAGGGAGGGGGTGGGGACAGGTCACAGGGAAATGTCGGCTCCTCATGGGGTCTGGGGGTGGGGGGTCAGGGCAAGAGAGAGACATGCTAGGGGGGGCTGCGGGGGTCCGGGGGGCACTCACCTGCCCCTTGCTTCAGCAGGTCGCTGGTTGTGTTGGCAGGACCCGCGCTATCTTTTGAGTCATCTGTGGGGTCTGAAACCAAAAAAAAAAATGTAATTCAGCCTGTAATGGGCTGGCCAGGGTGAGAGGATGGGCTGGTGGGGGGGACAAGGGTAAGTGGCCAATACTATGTTGCAAACGACATAGCCCTCTCACATAGGCCCTAGCCAGAGGCAGGGGGCATGGGGGGAGGCTCTGCGATATTTGGCATTGGCACGTGCAAGGAGATTCAGACCCTCAGCCCAGCTCCTGCTGAGTAGCCATGAACCAGTGTTGGAGACGTGGTGGGTGGGGGGTTGTCGTTTAGGGAGGCTGGGTGCAGACTCAGCATGCAGGAGACCTGCACGGTCCCCCACCCCCAGCAGGGCGGGTGCTGCTCCTGGGAACAGCCCCCCAAATACAAAACAAAAATAACAAGAAGGAGTCCCCCTTCCTCCCTTCACTGGCTGGGGCAACATCAGCCCAGGGCTTGGCAGGGCGGCCTCAGGGGACAGATGACACCACCATGTTAATTTAATCAACAAACACCCAAATTCATGACCTGAGTGCTTGTCTGGGGTCGGTGGGAGGGGGAGGGGGGCGCGATCTGGTTTCCCCAAGAACAAGCCCCCAGAAGGCTGACGCCTTTCATGTGGGGATGCTCAAGCCACTCCTTTGAAGACTTGTTGGGCTTGGAGAGATAGTACAGTGGGCAGGGCATCTGCCTTGCACATGGTTGGCCCACATTTGATCCCTGGCATCCCACTTGCTCCCCTTGGCTCACCAGGAGTGATCCTAGAACCCAGCGCCAGGAGTAAGCCCCGATGCTCACACCAGAGGGTGTGGTCCAAAAAACAAAACTGGTTAAAGAAACTTCAGTACATCTACACAATGGTGTACTATGTAACTGTTAGAAAAGATGAAGTCAAGAAATTTACATAAGTGGTACTACATGGAAAGTATCATGCTAAACGAAATGAGGGACAGACACAGAAAGATTGCATTCATCTGGGGAACATAAAGTAACAAAATAGGAGACTAACACCCAAGAATAGCGGAGATAAGTACCAGGAGGTTTACTCCATGGCTTGGAGGCCAGCCACACATGCTAGGGGAAAGGGGAGCTCAGATAGAGAAGGGAGCACCAAATAAAGGGTGTTGGGAGGATCCTCCCAGGATGAGAGAAGCATGCTGAAAGTACACTACACACCAAACATGATTGTCACCCATTGCCTCTTTTGCAAACCACAACACCCAATAAGAGAGAGAGAACAAAAGGGAATGCCCTGCCACAGAGGATGGGGGGTGGGAGGGATACTGGGATCCGTGGTGGTGGAAAATGGGCACTGGTGGAGCGATGGGTACTCAATCATTGTATACTTGAAACCCAAGCACAAAAATTTGTAAGTCTACTACTGTACCTCTTGGTTTGTCACTAATAAAAATTGAAAAAAAAAATGCAAAAACAAAAGAAAGTCAGTTTGTTACAGGGGTGGGGCTGGGGGAGCATGGTGAGGGGCTGAGCGGTATTTTTTTCTTTTAAGGGGGAATAGTAGAACCAAAGAAGTTTAGAAACTTGAGCATGAGGCTGTGGACAGGCACAGCAGTGATTTCAATATGAGAAAGTCCCAAGTCCGACTAAGGTGGGCTTGCTCAGTGTTGGTGTGTTAAATAAACACCCCAGAGTGTCTGTGTGGGGTGAATGGGACCGGTGGAGGCGGGGGTGGAGGGGGGAAGGGAAGGGATTTGTGACTATTTGTACTTCCAACAAGCTCTCTTCCCCAGGGCACTGATGTTAGCTGAGACAGGAGACGTTGAGAACCACTGGTTAAACATCAAAAACAGTTTCTCTAATTGCAGAACTACTTTGGTAAACTCTCGAGAAATGGGGTTTTTAATTAGCCTCTAACCGTATGCGGTTAATAACGCATCTTTAAGTTGCATTTGAACTTTTAAGCTGATAATGTGGGCCAATTATCATGAATAATTCAGCCGATTAAGCTGGATAAAAGTGGGGATTGTCAGATGAGGGGGAGGTGGGCCTCTCTGCCCAGGAACCTGAGAAGAGGAAGAAGGAGGTCTCCAGGGGGCTTTGGAGGCCAGGAGGGGGCACAGAAGGCAGACCTCGGCCCCCCTCACAGCTGGGGGCCCATCCCCCTCAGGAGGGCCCCATGTGCACTCGTGGGTTAAGAAGCCTGTGATTGAAGGACCTGCCCTCCCCCTGTCCCCCCTGCCGCCTCCAGCATCCCCCTAAGTGGGGTCACCTCTCTGAGAGATACTGATGTCTCCTTTGCTGACTCTGAGTCTCAAAGGCGTCTCTGCTCGGAGGCCAGCAGGTTCCATTCCGAGACTTGTCTGTCCCCAGCCTAACGGGAAAGTATCTCCTTCCTGCAGGCCCATGAGGAACTCCAGGGAGCTCTTTGCCTCGCCTTAGGGGGTGCAGCCCCCACACCCAGCAGACCCCAGGAGAGTCCAGGAGGAACACGCCTCATTTCCCCATGCTCTGTCCCCAGCCCATCAAGACGTTGCCTGGATGTGCTCTGTCCTCTGCTTTCAGACCAACATCTTACCCCGGGACGCCTCCACGTCTCCATGACCCCCATCCCTCTTCCCTCCCCGTCGCCCTCGGTCTTCCTGGGCCTTCCCACAACTGTCCCCCTACTTCTGGTGCACCCCCTGGGATGAGGCCTACTTAGCCAAGAATTCTGTCTGGATTTCTTAATGCCTCCAAAGAATTTCCCAGAACACTCTGGCAAGTCAATTAGGAGTGTTCCGGCTGTTAGATATCTATCTATCTATCTATCTATCTATCTATCTATCTATATATATATTTTAGTAAACTTTTTCTTTTAATAAATTGGGCAGGGTGGGGTGGGGTGAGGGGAGAAAGGAGTGTGGTTTTGAGTGTGTTTCCTCCGACTGACAAAATGACCCTTGTTCTCTTCCCCCACTGGGCCCTGTCTGGAGCAGGGGGGCAGGACCGAGACTCAGGGGGTTCCGCTCAAGGGCTCTTGGAGTGCCACGAGGTGGTTCAGCTTCCTACCGCGGTTTGGAATGACCAGCTTGCAGGGCAGGGCCAACGGGATGATGGAGTGCTGGTAGACCAGGGCGGACAGGGAGCCTGTGGAGAAGGAAGAGCAGGTCAGGCAGGGGCCCAGGGCAGGTAAGGGCCAGACTGGAAGTCCACCCAGCCCTTCCCCCAGCCTCCTCCCTCCCCCCACCACCACCCCACCATCATTGGCGCCCACCTACCCACCCCATCAGACAGGCTGCGTCTTCCTGGCCATCAAGGTCCAGGGAGAAGGTGCCCATGCTCCTTCTCATGTGTTCCTGAGAGAAAGTTCCCCACTGTCTCTCTCTAGGGATGGTGACTCAGATCCTGCACTCTCCGGTCCCAGCTGAAGCAAGCATCCCCCTGAACTGGTCCACAGAGCAGCCTCCCCAGAGCAGGGGGTCAAGCCAGGCCACCAGAGCCCTCCAGGACTCTGGGAGGAGGACGATCACGCATGGCAGAGGAGGGTGAATGCAGAGAGGGGCAGTGACTGGCAGGGCCCAGGAGCAGAGGGACACAGCCGCCGATCACAGGCCCTAACACCTCTCTGACGAGGAAGCCCGCTGATTCCAGATTTTCTGGAGTGCGTGGCCACATTCGTGGCTGCATGCCATCCTCAAACTCTGCCACACTGACATCCCCGTAGGAGCACACCTATGTAGATGGGATGGGACGAAACACAGAAGCCCAGCAATCTCTACTAACAGAAACATGGACCCAGAAGGCTGGGCTTGCAACAACAACAGCAGCTTAGGAATCCCTCAGACAAGGACTATCAATGTCCCCAGGGTGAGATGCATCACTTCTCACCAATTTTCTTCTATAGAAAAAAAAAAATTTTTTTTTGGATCATTCCATGAGCCACTTAGTAGCAACAAGCAATATAAAATAAATCATTGCAGGCCTGCTACAGGCTTGAGGGGTGTTTGGGGAAATGGAGACAGTGGTGGAGGGAAGGTGACAGTGAAGGTGGGATTGGTGTTAGAATATCTAATGCCTGGAACAGATCATTATGAACAACTTTGCAAATCACCATATTTAAATAAAGTGGGGTGGGGGGGAAGGGCTGGAGCAATAGAACAGCAGGTAGGGTGTTTGCTTTGCACATGGCCAACCCGGGTTTGATTCCCGGCATCCCATATGGTTCCCTGAGCATCGCCAAGAGTAATTCCTGAGTGCAGAGTCAGGAGTAACCCCTGAGCATCACCGGATGTGACCCAAAAAGCAAAAAAATAACAATAATAAAAATAAATAAGTGGAAAAGAGGGAGCTGGCAGAAATCTTGGGCTGGGGATGCAACACCACTGGGGCAGGGAGGCGGGTGGAGGAGGGGGTCACAAAGGCCAGGCACAGGGCACGAGGGACTCACCAAAGTTGGGCTCGTTGGGACAGCCCTTGAGCTTGACTCCTCTGGGGCCCGTCTCAATCAGGAAATGCCTCACCAGTTCATGGGCCATGTCCCCTGGGAGTTGAAGAGAGAACAGTGAGGACCAGTCCCTCCCATGGCCTCTGCCCACCTCCAGAGTGCAGGGACAGTGGCCGGCACCCAGCAGGCAGCACCCAATGCTCCCGACCCAACCCTTCAGGAAACCAACCACAAGGCCACCATCATCTTCTGTTCCCGTTTCCTTGGCGCCACCACCACCACCACCTGGGCGACTTTTGGCTCTAAAACATCTGTTATATAAACCAGGACTGGCTCTCGGGAGCTGAGAGGCCAGCCCAGCCCTGCCCAGGACACCCCTCTCACCCCAGGGCCCAGAAACTAAGGACTATAATGGACTGAGTGAGGGGATCCAAGCTGGGTGAGGTTGTTCAGCCCCAGGTAAGGCTGTCGATGCTAGGTGAGGCTGTCCAGGACAAGTGAGGTTGTCCAGCCCAGGTAAGGCTGTCCAGGTCAGCGGAGGCTGTCCAGGACAGGTGAGGCTGTCCAGGCCAAATGAGGCTGTCCAGGACAAGTAAGGCTGTCCAGGTCAGGGGAGGCTGTCCAGGTCAGGTGAGACTGTCCAGGCCAGGTGAAGCTCTCCATGCAGGTGAGACTGTCCAGGCCAGGTGAAGCTCTCCATGCAGGTGAGGCTGTCCAGGCCAAATGAGGCTGTCCAGCCCAGGTGAGGCTGTCCAGGCCAGGTAAAACTATCCAGCCCAGGTGAGGCTATCCAGGACAAGTAAAGCTGTCCAGCCCAGGTAAGGTTATCCAGCCCAGAAAAGACTGTCCAGGCCAGGCGAGGGTATCCAGCTTAGGTAAAGGTATCCAGCCCAGGTGAGGCTGTCCAGGACAAGTAAGGCTGTCCAGCCCAGGTAAAGTTGTCCAGCCCAGATAAGACTGTCCAGGCCAGGTGAGGGTATCCAGCCTAGGTGAAGGTATCCAGCCCAGGTGAGGCTATCCGGGCTACGGCATATGAGGCGGGCTTACCTTTTTTATTCTGCTGCATGATGGTGGGAGGCGGGGAGGACACCTTCATGGCCAGCCCATAGGCACCGCGGAAGGAGTGACTGTCCCGGATAATGAAGGCCCCTGGCTCCTGGTCCTTAAGGAGCGCTATGGCTGCATCGGGCAGGGGTGCAGGGTGAGGAAAGGTATCAAGGCACGGGAGGGACTCCCTCAGACATCGCGCCCCCCCCCCCCAACATCCTGCTGAACTGGAGCTGGCAAACCACCAGAGAGAGCCCGCCACGTACCCTGCAGGTAAGGGGCATGTCACCCTGACACCAAGGCGGCAGGTGTCCCAGGTGATGGGACAGAGTCTCTGATGCGACCGGATTTACAGAACCAGGCCACCGTCAGGGGTGGGACCCCAGTCCTGCAGCACACGGACCTCCCCTGGGATCCCCAACACACTCTCCTCGCTGTGGTTTCTGTTTCCCAGGATGAGTAAAGATCTCCCTTATCCGGCGGGCAGGAAGCTCAGGTTTGCAAGGGAACCAGGTCGAGACTGATTTAAGTGCTGCCCCTGTGCCTGCTCCCCTCCCGGCTCTGTCCTGACTCCAGGTCCCTCCTGGGGCCCACCCCCACACACTCAGAGGGGACAGGGCCTGCTCCTGTCCTGCCCCCAGGAAGCCCAGCAGCCAGCCCAGGTCACAGCGGAGCCACTGCCGCCAACACTCACCCTGCTCCCGGGAGATCTCGGGCTTGTACCAATACTTGGAAGTGTCCTGGACAAACTTCACCTTGGCCCGAGTCTCGGGGCTATTGTCTGGAAGAGAAAGAGAGGAAAAGAAAATGTCATGGTCTGAATTAGGCCATGGCCCTATTACACAAACACTCACATAATATTCCCAATAATATAACAACAACAATCACTGTCACTGTTCTCCTGTTGTTCATCGATTTGCTCCAGCAGGCCCAGTAACATTGTGAGACTTGTTGCTACTGTGTTTGGCATATCGAATACGTCACAGGGAGCTTGCCAGGCTTTGCCATGCAGGCGAGATACTCTCAGTAGCTTGCCGGGCTCTCAGAGAGGGGCAGAGGAATCGAACTTGGGTCGACCGGGTCGGCCGCATGCAAGGAAAACGCCCTACCGCTGTGCTATCACTCCAGCCCATAACAACAATAATAATGATGATGATGGCAAGCCAGACCAGGAACTGTGCCTTCTAGCTCTTATCTGGAATCAGGGTCCTGGTAGATGGGGCCAGGTAAATACAAAAGTGATGCTATATGGGGCTGGTGGTCACCCAACTGGCCTGGTGGAAGAGGAGTAGCAACAGAGACCACGAGAAGGTGGGGGCAGAACAGAGCAGGCTGTCCAGAGAACAGTTGCCCCAACAGAAACCCAGCTGCCAACACCCCCATCTTGAACTTGGAGCCTCACCTCTATTGCCAGGGACCACTCCTGTCGGTGCTCAGAGACTACCTGGTGTTTGGGGGGGGGTCCCCTACAGTGAAAGCCTGTGTTCTACCAACTGGGCAACCTCTCTGGCCCCAATTTCTGGAACTTTTTGTTTTGTTTTGTTTTTTTAAATTTGGGGATATGGAGTCACACCCAGGGCTCAGGGCTTACTCATGACTCCGTGCTCAGGGATCACTCCTGACCGGGCTAAGGGGCTCAGATGTGGTGCCAGGAACAGAACCCAAGTTGACCGTGTAAAAGGCCAGTGCCCGACCGGCTGTTCTGTCTCCCCAGTCTCACTGGCCCCAATTTCCACTGTCTTAGGTCACCATGTCTGCGGGCCTTTGTTCTGCCTGCCAGAGGAATCCAGGCCAGAAAATGAAGTCTCAGAACTGGCCCGGGTTTTTTTGGAAGGGCCAGAACCAGGCTGCTCATCCCTCCGCTGTTTCCGGGAGACCATCCTGGGCCCAGAGCTTCTATCCTGCATAACACCTCCTCATGGGATCTCCCAACCCCACCGTATTGCCCCATTTCTCTAGAAAATTCTGACCAAGACGTCCTCCCTCCCCCCCAGGCTAAGACACTGGCCACCCATCCCTTCTTCCTCTGTCAATTGCTAGTGGTTCCCATCAGGAGCCTGAAATGGGGGCGGGATGTCCCTCTCTGTCCACCACTCCCTGGTCCCCTCCTCGATCCCACAAGGAAAGCCCCAGAGAGTCTGCATCATGAGGGGTGAAAAAAAGTTAAAAAAAAAAAAAGCTACCCTCAGCCCAAGACAGAATGGGAAGTGGGGGAGAGACTGGGTTAAAACTTAATGGTCAACAACTCAAGTAGGCCAGACCCCTAGGTCTGTGTCCCCTAGCACGTATCTGGAAACAGGGTCCTGGTAGATGGGGTCAGGCAAATACGAAAGTGATGCTATATGGGGCTGGTGGTCACCCAACTGGCCTGGTGGACCGCCAGGAGTGACCCCTGAGCTCTGAGCCAGGAGTCAGCCCGAGCATCGCTGTGTGTGGCCCCGAAAAGAGTAGCACTGTAGCACTGTCCTCATCGATTTGCTCAAGCGGGCCCAGTAATGTCTCCATTGTGAGACTTGTTGTTACCGTGTTTGGCATATAGAATACGTCACGGGGAGCTTGCCAGGCTTTGCCATGCAGGTGAGATACTCTTGGTAGCTTGCCGGGCTCTCTGAGAGGGGCAGAGGAATCGAACCCGGGTTGGCCCGGCTGGCCGTGTGCAAGGCAAATGCCCTACCAGCTGTGCTACTGCTCCAGCAATACAGAAACAAACTCTTAATTCCACAAGTGTCCTCTGCTTTGAGTGGAGAATCTGGAGCTGAGGGACAGGCTGTGACCTTCAGAGCACAGTGCAAAGAGCCAGGACAGAGATGGGCGGGGGGGTGGGGGGGAGCACTCAAAGGACAACAGCACAAGCTTTATATGCGGCCACGGTCCCAGCCAGGAGTGACATCCGCAGAGGAGCCCTGCCAGGTGTGGCTGCAACACCAGACAAACAAAAAGGAAAAAGCAAAGCACACAGCACGAGCTGGGCAGCACGTCGTTGCTTGGCCCATTTCAGCCTGTTCCCCCCCCTCCCCCCCCCCCCCACACACACACATACACACACACTAGAAGGCCGCTGGGATTTTCTGGGACTGCTGCAAAGGGGACTCGGCTCCTCTCAGCTGTGTGTGAGGGGGCCTGGGGGCTGGGCCGCTGGGCAGCTGACAGCAGCCTTTGCTGCTCACACCCCAGATCCCCCCATGCCGCTGTCTAATGAGCTGTGAGAGGCAGCCCGAGGCCCCTGCACCTTCCTGTGTTGATTCCAAGGGCTATTTTAAGCAGGGAAGATGGTGGGAAACAGGAAATGTCCTAACTCCTAGAAGTTCTGCGTCCTCTAAGGAGAGGGGCTGGGAACCAGATGTCTCTGGGGGGGGGGGGGGGGGGGAGGGGGGGGAGTGTGTGTGTGTGTGTGTGGGGGGGTGGCTAGCAGGAAACAAGAGCATGTGGGAGAGATCCCAGTCCCAAGGCACGGGGCAGGACCTGGTGGCGGATGTGGGGGCGGGGGACGCTGGACGGGGGGGAATGTGGGCACCTGGGGCCCCGCCCCTAGTGCCCGGAACATTCTAAATCCTCCCCCCGAAATCTCAGCGGCCCCAGCCCGCATGCTCAGGTTCCGGAGCTGGCCAAGAGAAGCTGCAGACCCACAACCTGAACCGTCCTGGGCATCTGTCCCCAACGTTCGACAGAGACGCCAAGTTCTGGAGGAGAACTCAGCGTGCAAACCTGGATAGGCCTCACGGCAGTCTGGTGGGTGGAAAAGCAGATGCTAGAGAGAAGGACCGGGCCGTGCTTGGTCCTGGGTGGCGTCTGGCCTTGGGCAGCTGGCCTTGGGCAGCTGGCGGCCAGATCTTTCAGGGGTGACGTGATCTTTCAGCGGGGAACCGCAGAAGGGGGGATGTTTGTTCTCCAGGTGACACTAAGTCACTGTGATCCCCGTGGGCTCTGGAAACAGGGCAATGCCCCGGGTCTGGATGGAAACCCGACTTGGCCAGTGCAGTCACTCGTCACACCTCTGAGAGCCCGATGGCTCACATGACAAGGGTAATAACACCCACTGGGTGGGGACCGGTGAGACAGCGCTGAGCTAGGGCCGGTGTCCGCGGGGGCAGCGGTCAGCTTGACAGCCACAACACCCAGACTGCTTCATCCGCATCGTCTCACACTCCCCCCCTCTCCAAGGTGCTGGGACAAGAGAGCCCAGGGAGACCCCTGGGTTCTGCACTGATGAAAGGAAATGAGGTCCAGCCTTCCCCGGTGGTTCCGGCCAGGCCGCCTGCCAAGGCAGAGTCAGGGGGGCAGTGGGACAGGACTCCTCGCTCGGGGGTGGTCCCCAGGGCAGCAGAGGGGGGTGGGGAGACTCACCGGGCATGGAGTACTTGGAGAAGTCGGGCAGCGTGTGGGAGAAGGACACGGAGTTCACCCCGCCGGGACTGGACATGCCGCTGGTGCCCGGTGAGGCGGACACCTTCCCGTTGACCGTGGCATAGTTGGGGAGGCTGCCCGCGCGGTCGCCCATGGACATCCTCCGCTTCTCGGGCAGGGCGGGTGTGGGACTCCCCTGCCGGAAGGCGGCCGAGTCGGGCGAGGGTGAGGTGGCCGGGCTGCTCAGGCCTGGGTAGTAGGCGGGGGACACCGGGAAGGACGGCGTGGAGGGCGCCTGGTAGCCAGAGGCACTGCTCTGGCGGGACAACGTGGGTCTCCGGTCCTCGGGGGTGGAGTGGCCCCCGTAGGCCACGTGCCGGTCCAGGCTGGGGCTGCCAGGAACCGCCGACCCGGACCCGCCCAGGTGGCGGCCCGGGCTGGGGCTCCCAGGAGCGGTGGCCACGTTGCCGTGGAGGCCAGAGGCCAGGAGGCCCTGGGGGGCTGCCGTGGGGTGCCGGCCCAGGCCAGGGCTCCCGGGAGTGGTGGCCACGTTGCCGTGGAGGCCCAAGGCCTGGTGGGACCCCAGGTGCCGGCCCAGGCTGGGGCTCCCGGGGGTGGTGGTGGCGCTGCCCTGGGGGCTGGGGGCCGCGGCAGCATGGAAGCCGCTCCCTGGGCCCAGGGCCTGGCGGTGGCTCATGCCAGGGCTCCCAGGGTTGACGGCTCGCCGGCCGAAGCCGGGACTCGGTGGGGTGTTGGTGCCCACTGTCCGGTGGCGGGTCTGGGGGCTCCCAGGCACTGCGTGGACACCAGCCGCGCCGAACTGAGGCCGGGGCTGGCTCTCCGGGGAGCTGAACTGTTGGAGGGTGTAGTCGGGGCCGCTGTAGCCGCCACTGCCGCCGGCCACCGTGGGCAGTGGGGACGAGCTCTGGTAACTTCTTTGAGGTGACGCGTTGGGCTGGCCCACACTGCAGGCACGGAAGCCGGGATCCAGCGAGGGTTGGGTGGGCGTCCGGGACCCCTGCTCACTGCTGTCCCCTGATGGGAAACTCCTCACCGAAGTGCTGGATGGGGAGCGGGCAGTGCAGGGGACGGAGAGAGGAGGGCAGGGCCCCATGAGCACTCAGCGTGCTCTGCCACCATCACCACACACACACACACACACACACACACACACACACACACACGACAGCACACAGTACCACACACACACCAACAATACACACCACCATACACGCGCCACCCACACACATCACCACACACAATATTCTACACACACATACTACCAACACATACACACACCACTACCAACACACAGTACCACACATACACACCAACACACAATACCACACACAGTATCATACACACCACTATCACCACATACACTACCACATACAGTGCCACACACCACCACCACACACAGTACCATACCCAACCACACACACCACCACAGTACTACACACACCGCCAACACACACCAACAGTGCCACACAGAGTACCACAAACTCAACACATACCACATACATGCTCTCCCCACCCATCACAACACAGTACCACACACACCACCAGCACACACCAACACACACACTGTCACACAAAGCCAGCAACCCATATCAACACACACAGTACCACACACATCACCAACACATACAACCACCAACACACCTACACCAGCACACAGTACCACACACACCACCAGCACACACCAACACACAGTATCATACCACCAACACATACCACCAATAATAACACACGTGCACCAATACACAGTACCATATATACAGCACCACCACACCACAAGTAGTACCACATATACACACCAACCTACACCAACACAATACTACACATACACACCAACCCACACCAACACATACACCATCACCAATACACACCAACACACACATATACGCCAACAGACACAGGAGCTCCATGAGCCTACGCCTGAGTACCAGGGCTGCCGGCCATCACCTCCCAAAGCCGTCCAGAGAACTGAGCGAGGCTCAGAGAGGTGAAGCCGGAGGCTCAGACCACACAGCTCACAGAAGAGCAGGTTCTGCTGGCTCCAAAGCCCTGAGGCTCCCCCTGTACCCGGCTGCACCCCAACCCCATGCGGCAGAGCCAGGAGACCTTCCTTGATGGAGAATAGGGCAGCTGTCCCCTCGTCATCTCCTGCCTCACAGCCACTGCTCCCCTCACTGCTCCTACTCCTCCTGGGATCCTGCCCACCTGACTCAGTTTCCCCAGGTGTGCCATCAGCACCCTTCCATGCTGAGCACCCTACACGCAGGGTATCAGATCCAGGGAGCCCTGGAAAAAGCAAAGACCAGGGAGCTCTCCCTAGGTGTGTTGGTGCTGGTATGTGTCAGGGTCAGCCGTCACACCAGCTACACGGTAATGAGTCTCCCATCACCAGGAGCATCCAAGTGGGGACTGACACCAGGGGCCATCTCCCTCCTTTAGAAGGTGGAACCAGATAGTGTGAGGCCTCTCCCCCATCTAAGACTGAGAAAATCCAGTTCCTCTGTTGGTGGCACAACAGTTCCCATCAGGGGTCTCCCTCTGACGTTCAGTACAGCACCAGGACTGGAGAGTCAGGGGGCCTGGACTTCACTTGCTCAAGTTGTCCTGAGAGGAGAAAGGGGGCATGGGGTTCCATGACCAGCTTTCTCCAGACCCCAACGCCTACCCCGCCGTGCCATGGCAGGAGATGCAGGGCCTGGACAAACAGCTGCTGCAGGGAGCCAGTGGGGTGGGGGGTGGGGGGTCTGCCCTGGGTGTCCCATCTAGGAGGATGGGCCAGCCTGGCCCTGCAGCCTGCAAGGGTCCCTGGAGCTGGGCAGGAAGCTCCACCCCATGAGGTGAGGTGGGGTGAGGTGAGGTGAGGTGAGATGGAGAACGGCGCCAAGGACAAGGGGAAGGTCAGCGGGCAGGACAAGCCTCGCATTCCAGAGGGGGCTGGAGTGGAGCTGCACTTCCGGGCATGGAATCATCCAGAATCCCAGCAACAGGAAGTTGGAGGGGGCGGGGGAGGGGGGCCGTGGCCTGGGCAGTCTGGAAAATCCATTCCAGAGTGGGGATTGCGCTTCCTGAGCCCAGGAAAGAACCAGCTCTCCAAGAGAGGTGTGTGGGCAGGGAGCGGGGACAGCAGCCTTAGGGTGGGCTGGTCAGCCCATGCCCCTGTCCCCGGCATGTACCACTGCCCAGCATCAAGACGGAATGGAGCTGCTGGCCTGATCCCTCAGGGATGGGCTGAGAGGACAGCATGTGAGGCCCCAGAGTCTTCTCCTGGAACCCCGGAGAGAGTTGGCGGCTGCTTCCCCAGCCCTCCCTGCCCTGCTGTGCAAGGAACAGGGGGGGCCTTCCAGAAGTTTCCCTGCCTCGGCTTGCTCTGCAGGTACCTTGTTCAGGTACTCCCTTGAACACCTGCCTTGCTTGCTGTTTCTTTGGTCACTTGCTTTCTGCTCTGGAGAAGCCTGTGTTCTCTCATACACATACTTCTCTCTTTTTCCTCACATATTTCTAAATAAGTTAAATAAAAAATGACTTTCCTTCTCTAAAAATAAACAAATAAATAAATAAGGGAGGAGGGGGAGGGGGAAGGGGAGGAGGCGGCCCAACTTCAAGAAAGTCCAGGTTCAGGACGAGTGTGGTGACAAGAGGGGCTGGACAGCATTGGGGCCCCTCCCAGGCGTGAGTTCCAGCAGGGATAGGAACCCCACATGCCCTGCCTGCACTGGCCTCTAGGTCCCCGTCATCGTGCCTCTATACTCCTCATCCTACTAGACCTGAACACAGGGCCTCTCCTGCTCAGCGCCTCCACTACCCCATTCCTGACGCTCGTCTCTGAGGCCACATCTGCCAGCCTTCACCGGCCCCCTGACGCATCACCACATCGCAGCACCTGCCTGCTACCACGCCACACTCCCCACCAGTCACCATACCACACTCCCCCAACCAGTCACCACACCATGCTCCCCCAACCAGCGACCACACCACACTTCCCATCAGCCACCATGCCACACTCCCCCCAACCAGTCACCACGCCATGCCCCCCCACCAGCAACCACACCACACTTCACACCAATCACCACGCCACAGTCCCCAACCAGCCACCATGCTACACTCCCTACCAGCCACCACGCCACACTCCCCATCAGCCACCACGCAACACTCCCTCAGCCAGCCACCACGCCACACTCCCTATCAGCCACCATGCCACACTCCCCCACTAGCCACCACGCCACACTCCCCCACTAGCCATCATGCCACACTCGGCCACCAGCCACCACGCCACACTTCACACAATCGCCACGCCACACTCCCCCCAAGCAGCCACCACACCACACTCCCCATCAGCCACCACGCCACACTTCACACAATCACCACGCCACACTCCCCCAACCAGCCCAGCCACCACGCCACACTCCCCATCAGCCACCACACCCTCTTCTCCCTCCCTTCTCTGCACCCTGCTCTTCCTTCGGGCGCGCACACACTTCCAGAAATCCCATGGCAGCCCTAGTCAGCAAGAAGACCCACATCTCTGTCCTCAGCCCTCCCCCTCCCCACCCCTGCTAGCTCCTCGCTGGGTTTCTAAGCCCACTTTGACCCATCTAACTGTGCCTGGGGCAGGTGAGGACAGACGTGGATTCCAGAACCAGATGCCTTGGACCTGAGCCTGACTCTGCTGCCAGGTGGCTCCGAATTCCCCAAAGTGGCCCTACCACCCTCTCCAGCCGGCAGCCAGTGCTGGAATGCCCCCCCGGGGTTGGGGTGCAGGGTGGTGGCAATCTCCTTGGGGGCCACTGGGGGGCATGTTCTGATGGTTTGTATATAGGTGGTAGATTTCCAGGGTGGGAGCACTGACTTTTTTGTCTGATTTGGAAAGGGGGGTCTTAACCCTTCCTCACCGTGGGGGACGGGGCCCAACTTGGGGTGCCCTCGCCCACCCCTGCCAGTCCTCTCCCCTTACCTGTCAGTGCTGAGGATCGGGCTGCTGGTGGAGAGGGGGCTGGGCGAGACAAAGGGTCCCCCCAGGCCCCCGTTCCTCAGCCGCGCCTCCTGGCTGGCAGGGGCACTGAAGCTCTGGGGCTCGGCGTCCTGTGCCCGGGGCGCGGCCACCGCCGTTCGCACCACCGACTCCACGTAGCTCCGAGGCTCTGGAAGGGACAAAAGCCCAGAGTGGGCGCAGTGTCACGTGGGGAGGGGGGACAAAACGCAGTGAGACAGTCCTGCACACGGAGGGCACAACCGGGGACCGGGCACCTCCCAGCTCAAGCCCACCCTCTTCCCTGGTTTTGGAGATGCCACGAGAACCTTCCTGGACCCATCCTGAACCTTTTGTGTGACGGCCCAGGCTCCGGGTCGCCCCTGGAGCCAGCATCCTGCTCCATTTCTGCTGCTTTTCTTCGATGCTCCCCAGCTCCTCCTCCTCCCCACAGTGCTCCAGCCTGTCCCACCCCCTCCCACCCCCCAGCCCCAATCTCAGGACAGCGCAAGCCGCACCCCCACCCCAGAATGCAGAAACAGGCCTGCCCGGCTGAGTCACACAGCCCCTCCACACCGTGGACACAAATGCCAGGAAACGGACGGATAGAGTTCAGCAGGGCACTGGGCACTGGGTAGATGGGCCCCACTGACCCCTCAGCCCTGTGGCCTCAGGGGCCCGGAGACAGGGAGCAGTGGCGGGGGACATTCGGCTCCTCTGGGGACACCAGCATGGCTCAGGACATGCCAGACACCTCCGAACCTGGCAGCTGCCCCAGTGCCCCAGGGGACAGGCAGCCCGGAACTAGGGCATCAGCAGGAGCAGCGAGACAGACTGACGCACCCGGGAGTCTGCAGGGCCCTGGGGGCCAGGACGGTGCTGGTCACTGAGTCCCCTTCAGACAAAAGGGCCAGGATGGTGCTAGTCACTGAGTCCCCGTCAGACAAAAGGATGCCAGGACAGTGCTGTTCACTGAGTCCCTCTCAGATAAAAGGGCCAGGAAGGTGCTGGTCACTGAGCCCCCCTCAGACAGAAGGGTCAAGTTAGGGCTGGTCACTGATTCTCCTCTCAGCCCTGGGGGACAGGAAGGTGCTGGTCACTGAGTCCCCCTCGGACAGCAGGGCCAGGAAAGTACAGGTCACTGAATCCCCCTCAAACATCAGAGCCAGGTAAGTGCTGGTCACTGAGTCCCCTTCAGACATTAGGGCCAGGATGGTGCTGGTCACTGAGTCCCCCCTCAGTTCTGGGATAGGACAGTGCTGGTCACTGAATCCCCCTCAGATACCAGGGCCCACTGGTCACTGGTTCTGTGCAGCCCAAATCTCCTCCATCCGTTGCCAAGAGCCCAGTCCACCATTGCAGGCCCTCAAGGCACAGCAGCGCCAAATGCCCAGGACCCCCGCCCCTCACTCTCTCTCCAGAAAGGCCGGGACTCTCCTACCCACAAGCTACCCTGCTCCTGCCCAGCGTCTGCCAGTGCTCCTGGTGACCATCCTGCACTCAGCAGAGGCCCGGGCGCACCCCAGTCCACCCTCAGACACAACATTCCCAAGGTCTAAGAGGCTGGCGAGCGTTCACCTCATCCCCCTGAGACCAGGCAATGGCTTGAAGCCGTAGCGGAAGCCTCCGCAGAACTCCCAGTTCTACTGCCTCCGGTGCCGCTGTCTGGCCTGTACTCAGGGGTCAACTTCCATCCCCTCCCTCACACACTGCTCCCCCACAATGGGTCCAGCACAGTTCTGGCCTCAATGAGAGGGACAGGAGGGGAAGGGGAGGACAGAAAAAGCCAAGGCATACCTGAGCACAACACTCTGACTCCCCCCACCACCTCCGTGGCACCACCCCCCCAGCTCTCTGGTGTGGGGAAGGGTCCCCTCCCTGCTGGAGTCACCCAGGCCCTCCACCATTGCTCTCACACTATCTGGAACCGTCTGTCACATCCCTTCAACTCTCCTGGCTCAGCCCTCTGCTAGAAGCTTCATCATCGTGTGGGTAAGAGATGCCTAATAAAGGCCAGGATGTACCTAGACACCCCCCCTAAAATAGACAGAGAGGGGGGCTCACTGCACCCTGACCTGCCATCAGGACCCAGCCGAGCCCCAAGGAATGGGACCAACATGACCAGACTGCCCCCAAACAAGACAGAGCACCCTCTCCTTTCTTGGGCCCTCAGGGCCACTCACCCAGGGAGAAGTAGCAGCCTCACCACCTTGGCAGGAAGAAACCCCTGCAGGTTTGGGCTTTGGGGGTGCCCAGCAGGAGTATGACTCCAGAGGCCCCGCCCTCACCTGCTGGCCCCGCCCCTGGCCCACTCTGCCCCGCCTCTTCTGGTCCCTTCCATCCTCTCCCATCCTCTCTCCGGGGCCAACCTTGGCTACCACCTGCTACCCCTCCCAGAGGACCAATAAAACCAGGAGGAGATTTTACTCAAACTCCCTTTCCACCATAACCCCCGAGTAGGAGGGCCCTTCTTTGAGAAGTGATTTGATTTCCCCGAGTTCTTTTCAGAACATTTTGAAAAAAATCTAAAAGCTCAGTTCTGCCCAGTTTTCAGGCCTGAATTTGTGTTGGGAATTCCTCCAGTCGCTGTCTCCCCCTGGATTTTACACTCTCCCGTGCCCACCCTTGGGACTCTGACCTGACTCAGGCCCCAGGATTCACTTTGCTCCCTGTGTAAAATAGGAGTAAAAATCCCCAAGAGCCCAGCGGCCAGGACGGAGCACCCAGAGGGCCCAGGTCTAGGGGCTCATTGTGTCGACCCAGGTCTAATGCCCGTGTTCCCAACCAGCTTTGGTTCTCCCAGGAGCCCAGCCTGGCCTCCATCCTTCCTCCCTGTCTGGGGACAGCTGCGCCCCCTGGGAGCTGGGCAGGGAGGGAGGGAGGGAGAGGTGGGGCCGGGAAGGGTGTGATGTGTAGAACATTCCAGGGCCCCAAAGCCATCCTGAGTGGCTGCTGGCGTGGTGGAGAACAGCTGGAGGGCGGAGGAGCACAGCCCCGCCAGGCACCAGGACCGTGGCCCACAGCCTCGAGTGCACTCTCGCCTCCAGAAAATGCCAGGGGGCTGGGGTTTCCCATACCAAGTTGAATGAGGTCATGCAACAGCGGAGGAGGAGGAGGAAGAGGAGGAGAAGGGGGAAGAGGAGGGGGAGGAGGAAGAGATACAAGAGCCCCAAGTCCCAGCTCTGGCATCTCAAAAATGTCAGGCCAGAGAGATTGTGCAGGAGGTCAGACACTCGCCTGGCGTGCAGCTGACCCTCGTCCAGTCCCTACCAACACAGAGGGGTCCCCAGAGCCCTGGCAGAGGTCAATCTGGAGCCTAGAGCCCAAAAGAGCCCAGAAGCACCCCAAGCCCCACTCCTCCCAAAATATTTTCTGCAATTGTAAAAGATTTTTAAAAGGTAAAGGCCTTTTAAAGGTTTTTAGTTTTAAGGAAAAAAAGTGGGTAGGGGGAGGAGTATTGCCAGGCATGGCCCAGCTCTGAACTCCCAGGTCAGGTCACCGCCATCCCTGCTTCTGCAGAAATGACCGTTGGCACCGCTGCCCTCTGCCCACTCCCAGTCCCATTCCTCTTTATACCCTCAGCGACCAGCAGGGGGCCGGGTGCCAGGGGGTGAGGAGTGAATCTGTGCTACCCAGGTGCCCTCAAGTCCCAGGGCCCACGGCATCCACTGAAGGACCCAGCACCCACGCCCCATCTTCCTTTGCACCCCACTTGTGCTCGCCCGTTGCCTGGACCATCAGAACGCTCTGCTCTTGGGGAAGAAGTTTCCTCTGCCTCTTTCCCGGTGACCCTGGGGCTCTGATACCCACTCTGCTGCTGTGGGCTGTCATGCTCTCCCCGGGCTCCAGGGAGCTGAATGCCCAGTCCTGCCCCACCCCACCCCCAGGTTTAGAAGGTACCCCAGACCAGCAGGTGGAAAGGGCCAGCCTTCCCAGGCTGAGGGGCACCACCGGGCACCTGGGCATCTCTGAGATGCAGGTGGGTAGGAACAAGTCACTGATATCCCCTAAGTCTCATCATGGCATCTTCCCCCCCCCCCCCCCCCGCAATAATTGGCCTGCCCTCCTGTCCCTCCTGGGACAGCCGAGGATCCCAGACAAGGTGAGGAGATCCTACTCCCTGATTATCTCATTCTCCCTCCACCCGTCTCTGGGCATCACCACAGAGCAATCAGCTATGTGGCACCCCAGGCCTTTGCACATGCCCTTGCCTGACAGCCACTTGAGCAGATGCTGTGAACAGACAAACAGCCCCAGTAGCCCCCTTCCCCCAACAGACTGATTCTGTCTCGGGTCACTTTTCCTCCCAGGCGCCTGTCCCTGGATTTTTCCATCCAACAATCAGGAGGGCGATGAAAGCTGCAAATAGGTAGCATCTGGCCCAGCGTAGCTGGGACAGGGGGTGCCCCCCCCCGGGGGCTATCACAGTAAATGCACCCTCAGGACTGGAATCCAGAAGGAGGGTCAGAAGTGGCCAGTGGACTAGGAGATGAGCCAGTCCCATCTCTGGGGAACCCCACCTGCACTCGAAAATATGGGTCTCAGCCAGACCCGCCCCTATGAAAATGGGGATATGACTATACAGATTTTTAAGAAATAGCCCCTCTCCAAATTTGGGTGGGGGGAGTCACCCTAAGGACAGAAGAGGGCCTCTCTTTGGGAGTCTAGGGGGGTTTGGGCTACAACTGGTGATGCTCAGGGCTGAGCACCCAGGGGAGCCCTCCTGGCGGGACCCTTTGGGATACTGGGGATTGAACCCGGGTTGGCAGCGTGCAAGGCAAACACCCTCCCCGCTGTGCTATCCAAGAAGAAGGTGCATGAGGCTCTGTGCAGTCAGCCTTCAGCTCTGAGTGGCAGTGACGGGGGAGGGGGCAGCTGAGAGCCTGGAGCCAGGGTCCATCAGCCCCAGGGGTCATTTGTCCCTTGGGAACTTCCTGCTGCTCCCTGAGTCAGAGATCTCACTAGCAGCCGCAGGGATCACTGCACGGAGAGTGAGAGCTAACCCCCCCCACCCCAGTACAACTACTTCAGGCCTCTTCCCTACCTGGGGGTCTGGCTTGCCCAGGGTTGGACCCAGGGGCCAGCAGGCAGAGGCCGGCTGACACTCACCCCCTTCTGGGGTCTGTTGCCAGGGGCCTCCTTGCTCTGCAGCCCCAGGGCAGCTGGGGTCACTGCCCAAACTCTGGGCGAGCTGGAAAAAAAGGCTCCCGGCAGACTCAGGGGGCGCATAGCTATGCCCGAGAGCAGACCACTGCTCCATCTTTAAGGCCCCTGACGGGAATTTGGAGGAGTTCACTCCCCAGGGCTGGGACTTCCTGTCCACCACACACCCCGCCGTTTCCACTGCTGAACTCATTGGAACTCGGAGCCTACTGCCCCCTCTGCCCGCCCCCATTCACGAAGACCAGAGCTTCAATATTCCCTACCCACAGCCCCTTTTCACCCCCAGAAAGACCACACACATGAGGCAAACACTGGAAGAAACATCTTGGGTTCATGACGCAGTGGGTTCTGACTTCGCTTTTTGTCATTATGCATCAGAGAAGCTCCCCCCAAACCTGTCAACCCCCCTCCCATGCCCAGGGCAGCCTTTGTCACCCCCATGTCCGTGCACTGGGCATTCTGCAGGCTGGAATCATAGCTGCAGGATGCAGCAAAACTGAGGCACGTCTCGAGCTCTGCCTCAGCTGGGCAGCACGCGCCCATGCCCCCTGCAGGGTGGCAGGACTCCATGGCGCCGGAGGGAGGGGCAGGGACCACCCTCATTCCCCAACCCCACCACCACCCCCAGACCTAACCCATACCCAGAGGTTGGTGGTCCTCCTGGGGGCCACAGTGGGCACCCAGAGTGATGGCTGAGCACTAGAGTGAGCGCCTGGCAGCCAACAGTCAGTCCTGGCCACTTGCACAGCCCGCAGCTTGCAAGGTGCTTCCTCTCTCCTCCCCCTCAGACCCAGGACCCAGCCATGGCCACTCAGAAACGCTGCAGGCACTTACCTTCTGTAAACTCCATCGCCACCTTGCCCTCATCCTCCTCTGAGGGAAGATGGGAGAGAGGTGAGGAGGAGGCAGAGCAGGAAAGAGGCAGGTGAGAAGAGCAGAAAGGAGGCAGAGACAGACAGACAGACAGACAGAGGGAGAGAGAGAGATAGCGGTTAGCGGTGGCCTCACAAGCACCTGCTGAGAAGCCCAGGAAGCCAGGCCAGAGGCAGCTCCTCATGGGAGGGTCCTGCCCTAACAGGACCCCAGACTCCAAGGCAGCTGTGGGGCGTGGAAAGGCGCGTGGGGCGCAGAGCTCAAGACGGGACGAGGGTGTCTCCCCAGGACGAGACCTCATGCCCTGGCCTGTTCAGAGCGTCTCAACCTCTTTCACTCCATGACTCAGTCGTCCCACCATGCAGACCCCTCCTGGGGGGCGCTGTGCCCATTGTGTATCGTGTGGGTCACACATCGCCATGCACGTGCCCACCTACCTGGCCGCATCAGTCTCCTGGGCACTGAGGAAGAGAAGCGGAGCTGTCCCTGGGAGCCCAGCACCAGTGTTCTGGGGTCAGAGCGCCCCAAATGGCCACTAAGGGCCCAGCACCTCCACATCCTCTGCCCCCCAGGAAGGAAGGGGCTGAGGTCTGTGTGTGCATGTCTGATGGACACAAGCACATAGGGATGTGTGGTTTGATTCCGGTGGGCATATATCTGTGTGGGAGCATGTCGTGGGGAGTCCTATGCATGCACATGCCATGTGGGAGCATGTCTGCGTGTGTATGTATGTGTGTGTGGTACACATCTGTGGGAGCATATCTGCATGTGTGTATATGTGGGTCTGTAGGGTGTGACTCATGCATACACAAGTCAATGTGGGAGCATGTTTGCATGTGTGGGTCTGTGTGGTATGATTCTGTATGTGCCCGCATCTGTGTGTGTGTGGGAGCGTGTCTGCATCTGCACATGTGTGCGTCTGTGTGGTGTAATTCTGTGCATGCACACATGTCCATATGGGAGTGTCCTCTGTGTGTGTGTGTGTGTGTGTATGTCTACCTGGGTGTGACTGTGTGTGCACACAAGTGCCTGAGCACTCTGGTGTGCGTGTATGTGTGTATCTACGTAGGTGTGACTGTGTGTGCATACAAGTGCCTGAACACTCCAGTGTGTGTGTGTGTGTGTTTGTGTATCTACATGGGTATGACGGTGTGTGCACACAAATGCCTGAACACAGAGGATGGGGCATACAGGCTCCTTGACAAAGCAGATCAACTCAAGAGAAACTGAGACCAGCCCTCATAAATCCCCACATCCAAGTGTCACTGAGCCCCCAAGTCAAGAGGCAGAAAGAGTGCCCAGGAACCTAGCTCCCTCACCCCCGAATAGAGACAGACAACCCCCCCACCCTGCTCCCGCCTGACCCCAACATAGGCAGAAAGTCACCTCATTTCCAGAAGGCTCCCAGAACCCGGAGCCTCTGGGCATGTTCTGATGCAATCCTGTGGGGACCCCCTGGCCTCCCTCTTCCCCGTCTTCCCCCACCCCGCACCTCCCTCTACCAGCCGGCATCACTCACCACCTGTGGGGTGCAGCAGGATGTCTGCGGGGTTGTGGGGCTTCAGACCCAGAGCAGACAGGGGTGTCTTGGCCAGACCTGGAGGGGAGCGCACTGGGCCAGAAGGAAGGGGTGAGTGTCAGGTGGGGAAGGGCAGGGGCCGGGAACCCCAGAGCATTGGTGAGGGAACCCGGAATTGGTGAGGGGACCCGGGCCCGGGGAGAGGGCGCAGCTAGCTTTGGCGCTGACCCTCTCCTCTCTGCAGATCCTCCACACGGTCAGGAGTGGGCACTGGGCCCCCCGGGGACCCCTCAGCCCAGACGGGAGTTTCTGCCCTGGACATGGAGCCTCATCACTGGTACCTACGTCCGCGTGGACACCGCAGGCATATGCAGGCCCCTGACCCCGGGGTTTCCTGCATGTTACTTGGTTCCCCTTACCCACCCCATCCTCCTCGCCATGGCTTCCTCCAGGCCTGGGCACGTGCACACACACAGATATATGTGCACAGGTGCAAGTACACGTATATACCCACATGCATGCACACACACACACACACACACACACACACACATACACACACACACACTAAAATCTAGCCTTGGGAGGAGAACAAAGGACATGAAGACTCAGGGCGGCTCATGAAAGGGACCCGGCTGGACCTGGGACCCCCCGGTGGTGTTGACCAAAGCGGCTCCACCCGGGTGCAGCAGGTGGCCCGCCAACCCCAGGAGGGCAGAAGTGTCTCTCTGCCCACTCAGGCACTGCCCTGTAACTCTGTGCACCCCGTCCTGAACAGAGGTGTCATGTAGCAGCCCCCAAGGTCAGACAGGGCCTTTGCTCTGCTCCCGGCAGCCAAGGACGCAGGCAGATACCAGCTGACGGAGGAGGGTGGAGGGTGGAGGCTACGCCCAGTCATGGGATTTCTCGGAGGGGAGGGAGAAGGGGGGGGCGGTGCGGTGGCTGCCATAGCTCCTGACACCCTCTGAGAACTGGAAAACTGAGCCCTGCCTCCTACCACGTCCCCCGGCACCCACACAAATGAACACCAAGAACACCAGCCACGCATGTCACCAGGCAGCCAAGCCGTCAGAAAGGAAACCCCAGAAGCACAGTCTCCACGAGAGCAAATACATAATGCAACTGTGGACCAGAGAAGTGGCTCCTGGGAGCACTCGGGCACGGGAGACCTTAGTGAGAGTCCCAGTCAAGCCCCCTGACCTGTTCCCCATGCTCATTCTGTCCTTCATGTCCCTTAGACAGAGAGAGCACGGGATGCAAACAAGCAGTAGAGTGAGAAAGTGTGTGTGTATGTGTGCGCGCACACACGTCCCTCCCTCTCCTTAAACAAATGTGTAAACCTCTTGCCACAGACACTTATCAAGCAAGGGCTGATGAGCTGTAAAAGGACTGGATTGGAATGAAGCAAAGAACAAGCCCAGCCTCGGGGTGGGACCCAGGTCCACATAATGACTCCCGTGCACCCTGCCCCAGAAAGGGAAGCCAAGTCCCCAGGACCGACACGAAGGAGGGGACACGTGACCAACAGCAGTGGGAGTTCCTCTGGGGTCCCTTCGCTCCTCTCCAGCTCCCGCCTCCCCATCCCTTGTCCCCAGGCATCCGGCCCTTCAGCTGGGGACAAGTGGGTGGCCCTATCACCAGACAAGGCTTCTGCTGCCTGGGAGAAGAATTCCAGGCATTTCTCCGCCTCTGTCCTCTCCCAACCCCGTGCATGGGTGAGACCTCTGACTTATTGTCCCCACGGGGGCACCGGGGCTGGCTCAGAAGAGAAGAAGGGGGGTGTGGGCAGCTCAGGATGCAAAACCCAAGTGGTTTCCATCCCAAACATGCCAAAGTTCGGGCCAAAGTTCCAGCAGTTCATAGCAGGAGGGAGTGGGGGCAAAGATGGAGGAGGAAGCGAGCTCCCACGGGCAGCCAAAAGCACCCCGCAGAGTCGTCAAGCCCCCAGAGCCATCTCTGCGGCTGGCACTGCCCAATTATGGTGGTCGCGGCCACACTCAGCTGCCCAGTCCAGCAGCTGCCCTCTGCCCCAGAGAAGGGCCGGATGGGCATGGTTCCATCGGCTCAAAGACGGGCACGAAATAAGGACTCAAAAAAACGCCTCGCTAGACTGGCGGCACGTTAAAGGGATAATGTTCCAAGGCAGGGGCGGGGGAGAAATAAAATTATTTTAAACACGAACCAGCTCTTGAAGAATTTTGTTTTTAAAATGAGAATGTTAAGGGGTCAGAGCAATAAGACAGTGGGGAGGGCATTTGCCTTGCACCTGGCCCACCCAGGTTCGATCCCCAGCATCCCAGATGGTCCCCTGTGCACCAGCAGGAGTCGTTGCTGGGTACAGAACCAAGGGTAACTCCTGAATATGGCCAGGTGTGGCCCCAAATACACAAATAAACAAAAAAAGAGAATTCTGAGGGACCAGGGGTACAGCTTACATGTCATGTATGCATGAGGCACTGTTTGATCCCCAGCACCCAAAAACAAACAAAACAGAGAAAGATGAACTGTTTATAGATGCTGTAAAAATGATACGCTATCTTGTATATGTACCTTATATATGCATATAAATATATAAATCTAGTGTGCGGTGCCAGATCAAACTCAAGGCCATCATCATGTATGTAAGACACACACTCTATCCCAATCCTATCAATATATTTTTTCTTAATTTAATAAAAGAATAACTAAAATGTTTATAAAAGATTATAAGCCAACATATAATCATACATATAGTGGAAGTGTGTGCTCTGTGTGTGTGTGTGTGTATGTGTGTGTGTGTGTGTGTGTACCACAGCAGTGTGCTAGGGGTTAAGCCCTGGGCTTTATCCATGCAAAGGCAGACACTTGACCCCAAGGTCATCAGAATTCTCATCTTAATTTACCAACTGATAGAATACCATTTGGGATATCTGGGGTTAAAAAAAAATCTTTTTTTTGTTTTGCTTTTTGGGTCACATCCAGCAATGCTCAGGGGTTATTCCTGGCTCTGTACTCAGGAATTACTCCCGGAGGTGCTTGGGGGACCATAGGGAATGCCGGGGATCGAACCCAGGACGGCCGCGTACAAGGCAAACACCTTACCCGTTGTGCTATCGCTCTGGCCCAAAGAAACGATCTTTAAAATTCATTTCCCTGGGTTCCTGTTCAGGTCTTAAGGCAGCTTGGAATCTGAAAAGCCTCACTGTGCCGCTCAGGGTCCACAGCCATTGCCAGCAGCGCTGTGAAGTGGGCACAGATGCCCATCTCGGTGGCTTCCCATGCACCAGGTCGGTGGCACCCCAAGCTTACCAGCACGGGGGCCAGATGCAGGCACCGTGTCCTGGCTCTGCTGTGGCAAATGAGGGGCCACTCCTGATGGTCTGGCCTGCCCTCCCACCAACCTGCCGTCCTCTCTCTGGTACAAATGGACAGCTTGAGCCACAGCCAGACCACCCACACCTGGACGTCTCTGGTCTCCCTTTTAAAACGCCCCTCTCCCACAGGGACCCAGACCCTCACAGTGGGACAATGTCCCTCATTACTTTTCCATGGGTCCCCCAGAGGAGCAGCTCAGCCCCCCCCCCACTGCTGGGACCCCCCCCTGCCCCACCCTGCCAGCTAATTCTCTCTGGGTGAATACGCCTCTACCCTTTGGGGACACATCTCCCCACTAGGACACACCTGGGGATAAGGGTGCTGGCTAACCATGGCTGCTGGGAACCCCAGTGAATGAGAAGGCGCAGGGAGCACTATGTTAGCCTGTGCATTCTGGAACTTTCTTTCCGAGGTGGGAACTAAATAGGTTGCCTAAACAGAAGAGGTATCAGGATTTTGGGTGGAGGGAGGGGGGAGGGGAGGGGGACATTTGACAATAAGGCCATCGATAATGGCAAATGCATGAGGCCTGGGGTTCAATCCCTGTCATGCTACACACACACACACACACACACACACACACACACACACACACACTTCCACTATATTTCTGGTTATATGTTAGCTTATAATCCTTTATGTCAAAAGTCAAGAACAAGGAGTGTCACACACCAAGTCACAATCACTTGGAGGGAAGGAGTTATGTGTACGATACAAACTCACAAACCCAGGCTACCACCACCCTGCAGGTTCAGGGCACTGGTTCCTGTCCCCATCCTTGGTCTGGGGGGCGGGAGGGGGCAGCCTACCCTGGAGACATGTAGTGGCCTGAGATTCCCAGAGCCAAGGCTGTGAGAAAGTGCCAGGCTAGCCCCAGTCCCTCTGGTAACACCCCTCCCCCCAACCTGTGGGGTGCTTCCACAGCTGGGGCTCAAAGCAATGGCTGCAAGCCCCCCCCACCCCGATTCCCCGGGAAGAGAGGCTGGGCAGGGAGGTCTTACCTCCAGCAGGCGGAGGGCTGGCTGGGGAAGCTCCATCTATCTCCTCGAAGGCCTCCTTGTAGCTGTGCAGGTGGGGCTAGAGGAGGGCAGGAGGATAGGTCAGACCCCTCTGGTGGCCTGGACCCTGCCAGGAGCCCTGCCAAGTGGCCCCCAACCCCCAAGGCCCCCCTCCCCCGTTCATCCCTCCTCAGGGGAACACTGGGCCCATAGTGGAGATCTTAGCTGCTTAAGGGCAACACTCAGGCAGGTCCCGTTGAGAGGGGAGGGGGTTACTGGTCCAGCAGATGTGGGATTCGGGGCACCTGCCTTGGACACAGTCCAGAGCCAAAGACAAGAAGCTCAGGACCAGCCAGAGGCAGGGAGGACAGCCATCCCAATGCCATCTGCATCCAGAGTGATCCACGAGCCTGGACTTTATTGGCCCTTAAAGCCATTGCATGGGACTCATCCCAGGGACGCTGGGGTGGGGAGTGTCTCAGGGGTGGATTCCTGGGAATAACCCAGAGAGCATCTGATCCTGAGTCCCTAGAGGTCAACCTGAAAATCTCATTCAGATGCTTTTTATTTATTCATTTTTTTTTGGAGTGGTCACACCAACACTGGCTGCTGGAGTGGTGGTGTCCCTCAGGGGCCGTGCCGGGCATCACACCTGAGGGTCTCGTCTGCAGAGCCCACCCTGCACCCTTGGAGCCTCCCCGGAGTGGAAATCTCCATTTCTACCCAACTTCCTATCTAGAACGCTGATGTTTAAAAGAACTCCTGCCTCCCACCAAAACGTCCCAGCATCCGGACACCACACCTGAGTTTTCTTGTGCCTGATTAGGGAGGACCCTGTGGGAACATCATCCCTGAGTTCTGAGAAGGACATACCTTCTCGGGCAGCAAAGGGGGCCAGGGGGCCAAGCTCCAGATGGGGAGAGAGCGAGAACGCAGGGAGGTCAACGGATTAAGGGGACAAGGCCAGCCGTGTGGCCCTGAGGGACCTGGGCCCACTGGGGAAGGCTCCTCACTGACCCTTCATCCCCAGGGTGGGGGGTGGAGGGACGACTCACCTCCTTGGGTCGCCCTCCAGGATTGAGGGCGATGGTGAGCGCCAGCTCAGGGGAGACGCACTGGACAGGGGAGCGTACCCCGGGACTCCGAGGGGACGCGGGCTCCGGAGACTGGTTCTCGTACTGTCCATCGCTGGCCGCCCGCCTCCGGAGAGGCCCCGGAGGTTCTGTCGGCTGCTTCTCCCGTGCCTGCACCCCTGGGAGGAACAGCAGGGCATGGAGAGTGAGGAGCACCGAGAGTGAGGGGCTCTTTGGAGCCGAATTCCCTCTCCCCAACACACACACACACACACACACACACACACACACACACACACACACTCCCCCCAGAGAGGGCAGCCGAGCTGGACAGGGGCTGGCGTCCCCACCATGCCCTCCCCACCCCACCCCCGGGTCTCTCCACAGGGTTCCAGGGTTGGTTCTGAGGGGCCCTGAGCACAAAGGGCTGATACAAGAAACAGATGTCAACGCCTTCCAAGGCCGGGAGGCAGAGGGCCAGCGCTTCCAGGCAGACCCAAGAGGAGAGGCAGTCTCCAAGGCGACTGCATCAACCAACAAGCAACACCAGGAGGGTGGGGAGGCGGCTTGGAAGGAGCTCAGGGCCCCATCCATGCACGGTTACTCCCGAGGAGGAACAAAGAAAGGGCTCCGTCCTCTCTCCCTCTAAACCCCCCAAACCCTGAAACACTGCTGGCCTTCTCTGGGGTCCCCCCAACCTCCATCCAGGGGAACCTCTGAAATCTCGCCCCGACTTGGCTCACCCGGTCCCCGGTCTGAGCACACCCAATCACCCAACCGCCCCCTATTTTCGGCTCTCCAAGCTGGTCCAAGGCTCCCAGCGGGAGCAGCCAGCAGAGGGCCTGAAGTCATTCACGCTCCACATCTGCTTCAGGGCAGTTCCCTTCCATCCCCCGGCCCCAGGCGCTGCTAACCTCACCCCCCTCCCTCCCTTCCCACCCCGTCTTCCCACAGCTGGGCCGAGGCCCGGAAGCCATGTCCTCATGGAGCTGGCTCCGGAATCCTAGAAAACTCACCGTCCCGGCTTCCAGAGGCCCAGACCGAACTCCAGGCCAGATTCCGCCTCCTCCAGCCTCCAAGGCCAGGCTGGGAGAGGCCAGCGGCAGACACCTGGGCCCGGGCCCCTGGCCACATCAGTCTCCCACCAGAACACTTGAGGACACTGTCCCCCGGCCCTTAAGCGTACACACACACACACACACACACACACACACACACACACACACACGTCCACGCACAAATGCGCATACACTCAGGAGCACTCTACTTGATCCTTGGCTTATGCCCCGGGCAGCCTGTGGTTCTTTCCTGAGAATGAATCATCGTCTGGTTCCAACAGGGGGTCTACATGACTTTGGGCACCCACCCACCCACCTGGCACAGTCACAAAGGGTGCCAAGGAGAGCACTTGTAGCACTGTCCTCCCGTTGTTCATTGATTTGCTCAAGTGGGCCCAGTAACATCTCCATTGTGAGACTTGCTGTTACTGTGTTCGGCATATCGAATACATCAGGGGGAGCTTGCCAGGCTTTGCCGTGCGGGCGAGATACTCTCAGTAGCTTGCCGGGCTCTCCGAGAGGGGCGGAGGAATCGAACCCAGGTGGGCCCAGTCAACAGCATGTAAGGCAAATGTCCTATGCCGAAAAGCCTACATACTGGCTGAGTTGGGGGCTGGCCACACACCTATTTGTACACACACACACACACACACACGCACCTCAAGCATGCACACACCCATGCATGTTCACACATGTGCACGCACATCTGCTCTTGCACACGAAGCTTGTCTACTCTCCCATAATTCGGGGAGCCCATGAGCACCAGGGCCGGAGAAACAATTTTCCAAAGACTGGTGGAGTTTTGAAGCTCCAATCTAATTCTTCAGAGGCTGCCTGTTCTACATCTCCACGAGAAGAACAGGGTCCCCCCCAGGGAAAGGCAACCAAGACGGCTTCCTCTGAGCCAATCAGCCTTTAGCCCCCCACCCCTACACACACACACACACACACTCACACATACACACCTTATCTTGGGGGATAAGAAAGAGGGTCAAGGTGAGGATCAGAGGCTGCCGTGCTAAGCGCCAGCCTGGATGGACTTAGGGGCGTGGCTCGGAAGGGGTAGCAATGCCGGGCTCCCCGCCCCCCACTCCCACACCTAGGGGGGGGTCCCCAACCCTCTGCCACGTTCTCCCACTGCTTCCCGGGCAGCTGGGCCCGGAGCTGCTGCTTCTGGCTTCATTCCTGGCAGAGACATTAGACAAAGACATAGACATTGATTTTCTAATAATAATTGTGACCAAGGCAGCCCATTCAGGAAACGCTCTTGGGGTTTGGAACTAAGTCCAGCTCCAAGGTTAAAAGAAATGCATTAAGGGCTGCTCTGAGATCCGGCTCCCCCACCCTGGCCGCCTCTTCCTGGCCGATCCCTGTGCCTCTGTAAAGGGTGGACATTTTCCCTATGGGGCGGGGGTGGGGAGAGGGACTCTCATGGTTACCCCTGAAACGTGGGCGTTTCAACCCCAAGCCCTGAAATCTCCCAGACGGGCGGTAGCCAACATTTCTCCCCATCTGCCCAGATCCACCTCCAAGCGCCTAAAGGTGGGGGCAGCACCCCACCCCCCAAGCCAAAGCCAAACAGCTAAAGGGCTTCCCATACGGGGAGTGGGGGGGGGGGTCCCAGAACGGGGTGGTGGGAACCCCTCTGAGCAACCACATGGCCTCGACCTCACTACAAGGGTTGAGGGCCGGGCGTGGGAACATGCTCCAGTTTGCTGGGTCTGGAGGGTGGGGGGACATGGTGACCGGGAAGAGCAAATGTGCTGCAGGGCAGACAGGGACCCCCCCCACCCCCACATGTCACTCCCTCCCCCACGGGGACCCCTCAGCTCCAGGGGTCTGCCAGGGCCTCTCACATTCTTGAGACACAGAGTCTCACTGTTGTCCCCCTTGGCAAGCCCAACGCTGCCCCGGAGTGCCGGGATGGGCCTCGTTCCCCACCCCCCCCCCCGCCCAATCTCTCCTCTCTCTCTATGGCAGGGGGGCTTGGCCTGGCAGAGGGGAGAGAAGAGAGCACCATTGTTCCCCAGCCAGGCGGAGCCTCTTGCAGGGTGCGAACACCCTGCCAGAACAACCCAGAGACCAGACGGACCCAAGATCAGAACAGGCCTGGTCCCCGCAGGGCCCGCCTCCCCGGCCCCCCCATCCCCTGCCACCCCCCTGCCTCGGGGTCTCAGTCACTCCTCATGCATCTGGATCTGCGTGTGCTGCTCTCTACACACACACACACACACACACACACACACACACGCACACACATGCACACACACGTGTGAACACACAGCCTGCACTGGGCGGTAGGCTAGAGTGGCCTTCAGGACCCCTGACAGCCAGCCCCTACCCTCTGGCCCTGACCAGGAACTGTGTGAGGAGGAAATGGGGCAGCCAGGGGGTCCCCGATGCTCTGCAGGGTTGACATTTGGTGGGCTGGGGGCTGCAGCTCACCCACCATCGCACTGCACCTAGCCCACCGCCCTGAGGACAGCAGTGCCCGTGGTCCAGGGTCTGAGCTGGGGTCAGAGCACTGGAGAGGGAGCATTCCTGGGGAGTGCTCATCTTCTAGGACAGAGCTATGCTTGGAGAACAGCTGATTCACACACTCACACACAAACATATACACACGAACACATAAACGGGCACACACATATATGTATACACGCACCCATGTACACAGCACAATTCACATGCATGGTCATGCACACACACAAACATGTGTGCAAAAGCACATGTGTGCATACCTACACACCAGTTCCAGATATGTACATGTGCTCACCACAATGTATGCATGTGTGCACGAATGTACACCCAGGTCTACCCCGCACCTGTGCACACGCACCCACATGCAAACACAAGCACACACATGTATATGCAATCATGCAGTACACACTTGCACTCAATCCAGCCCACAAGTGCAATTCTGCACAGCTATACCCCCCCATACACTGTCGTGGCCCAGCCCTGAGCCTCCCACCCAAGGACAGATGCCCCCCAAGGTCCAGCTCTGCCACGGGCCCCCTCCTAATCCCGCAGACTGGCGGCTTCCATCCACGGTGGAAGACCCAGTCTTCTCTCCAGCCTTCTGATCTCCGAAAGAGCCGACGGTCAGCTCCAGGTGTCCGCATGCGTGCCAGGGCTCCGGAAGCCAGGGGATCCGGGGGGCCACCTGCTGGGCCAGGGCACCAGAAAGCCACACGGCACTATACTAGCAGATCTAAGGCAAGCCATGCCAGCTCCCCTCAGGACAGGCCTGACCCTGCCCTCCAGGCCCGCCCCCCAACACTGCTTCCCTCCACAGCGCTGAAAGAAGGCGGGAAAGAGGAGACAGGTAGAGGGCCTTTTACGGGAGCCGGCTCCCCATTATCCATGGACCGGGAGCCCCCCTGGATATTGTCGAGGGTGTCAGCCATGGAAGCCTGCACCCCTAAGCTGGGGCTGTCAGCAAGGCTGAGTTGAGTCTCTTCCCATTCCTGAGGGGCAAAGGCAAGGAACTGGGGCTCTGGGTCACAAGCCGATGGATGTGGGGACATGACCAGCTCCCCACACATTGCACCCTGGGAGACACCTGGCCAACCCCTCAGGAGGTCCCAGGGCTCCCCATTCTCAGTCCGGGGAGGACCTGAGCTCTGAGCCGGCAGAGATCCGCCTGGGGTCTCAGGGATAGTGCAGACAGAGAGTCAGGGTCGCTGTCAGCCTTCCTGACTCTTGGGACCTCGGATTAGAGGATGGGATGAGGTCGGAGGAGTGCTCTGCTCCCCCCAAGGGGGTGCCATTCCCCGAGAGCAGACAGAGAGGCAGGGGCAGGAGGGACTTCATGTTGGTCCCTGCTGTGCCCTCGCTGGGCACTCCTGGTGGTGGCCTGAGCTGATGACCTTGTCCAGGCAGACCCAGGGGAGGCCCAACGTGAACACGCATGAGGCCTGAGTCCATGCACAAGTGGGAGCATCTGCTTGTGCAGAAAGGGGGCGGGGCCGGGAGGGAGGGCGGAAGAAGGGGGCCAGGAGGGAAGGGGGCAGGGAGGAAGGAAAGGAATCGGGGTGGGAAAAACTGAGTTGGGATGAGGTGGGATGCCAAGGAAGGACGGAGAGGGAGAAAGGAGGCAAAGTGAAGAAGGAAGGAGGGAA